AGGCGACTTGTTTCCAGATAGGTAGGGACTTGTCCAAAGGTAGAATATTACCAGGTCACTTTTTCCAAGGGAGAATATAATCAAATGCAAAGACAATATAAATACGACAAGCTTTGCCTACCTAACGCAAAGATAATATAACTATAAAAATAATTTTGGCGCTGATCTCACCTTATAACCTATGCAAAACAGTTTGGTATAACATTCTGTGCACAAAATGCACATTCTGTGCAGCGGTTTGTAACAATAATACTACAAATGCAATCCCTTACATGCCAACATATTATTAAATAATTCGTGAATAATAAACTTACCCAGCACAACTCGTCTAGCTGCTGACGGCCATGTTGTTAGCCATCCACGCACGTGCATGTGTTCAATATCCCACAATGCTTTGCTCTCCATGAAAGTTTGAACTCGGAAGTTAGAAGTCGGAACTCGGAAGTTTGAAGTCGGAAGTAGGAAGTTAGAACTGCGAAGTAGGAAGTAGGAAGGCCCCTCTCGGCTTTCGTAGTAAAGAGATAAAAACGCAGTGATATGTCAAAAACGTTTCTAAAATTCTAAAGGTGTCAGAACCTATTAGCATCTCAACATAGGGTTGTCGGAATATAGGGTTGTCGGAATATAGGGTTGTCGGAATATAGGAATGTCGGAACATAGGGGTGTCGGAATATAGGGATGTCAGAACATAGGGGCGTAACCCCGAGGAGGGATGTGCTCCCCTCAGAAGGTAGATATTTTTGAAAAATGCAACCAAAATGAAGTCATTTGGTGCATACTTGGGGATTTTCATTCTAACTTGATCATTAAGAATACAGTACATGTACACAGAACCAAAGGCCTTACACAAACGCAGGCTTTGATATAAGCCTATTATTGATATTTGGGCAAGTCTGGAGAGTCGAGGGGACAGTTGTGTCCCCCCACCCTTCAGAAAGTGGGGGGGGGGGACGTGTACATTGGGGTGTACATTGCCTTCCATCAGTAGACTGTTGTGACATATGGCTTAATTGGTTTCAGGATCACCTATATACCTGGCTGGTAAAACATTGACTGTTGCTTCATAGTCTAATTGGAAATAAACAGGTTTCTTGTCGAAGAGCATCTCTGCAGGGATTTGTCATTTCTATTGACAGCATTAATTTTTACAACATTTTTCATTCAGGATCAGAGTCACTAGAGTCGTCAGTTTCATGTACTGTGTACCTTTTGCAAAGTGGTGTATGCCTTTGCTTGATGAACTTATTTTTCCCCAGCTGTTTACATTCACAGTATCACTTCACCAATAAGGTGGTTGTTAAATTTCCTAACCACATATAGCAACAGGGCAAAGCAAAACTATTATATATTGCTAAGGCATCGGGACCAATTGCATGCAGAAAAAGAGTGGGTTGATATTCTGCCATTTGCAGTTCAGGCATGCCTGAGAATTGGTTGATGACATGGTGTTGTGAGACTATAATGGCCATCAGTCATTGACGCTGCAGTTCGGCGTCTTCGATCGTTTGTGCTGGGACAGCGCTTCCGGTGACGACACAACGGGCCATCAGTTAGTAAAAAGTCAACCAAATTAAAAACAAATCCTGCATATGACTTGACTTTTCTAGCAACTTTGAACAAAATTAGTGTAGTCACTTTCGAGTAAAGATGGACGAATGAACATATTCACTAACCCCAAAACAGGCTACATCTGAATGGATGGAATTCATACTTTGACAAGAAGGAGCCAACCTGATATTACGATTAATTAATAAGTAATTAAATGATCAGTCTTTTCAAATTTACAGCTAATGTAAGGTTACTGAAACGAGAGTCATATTCAAAATTACATCACATGTTACTTCCCATAGCTTAAGGTAGCGAGACTATTATTTGTGTTGAAAATTACGATTTCCACATTTATTTATTAATTGGTGAAATGCACTATAAACTTTCATGTAATAAAGTCAACATAACATAGAATGTCATGTAAGTTTGTTGAAATGTAGATTTTCCGAAGAGGAGCATGACAGCGACAGTAGTGTTTTCCAAAATCAACAACACAGGTTTAATCTGTGTGCCTATAAGTTTCAAAGATAAACTCAAGACAAAGCAATGTTAGGATGTGTTATCAGTAGCTATCTGACACACAATGAGTGTTTCCAAACATTTGAGT